ATTTTATGCTTGTCACACTCATACTACCCATGATGCCCAGCCTGTTGATTTTGAACGACGCAGAATTTGGGCTGGTCCCTCTCAATATGTCGGGCTTCCCTGAAACCATGGGTCGTGCGTCCCAATTCCATTCCGTGCACTTCCACTCAATGTCGATGTATTGTTTTTGCTATTATAAAAGGCATCAAATTGCACGACGGGCTCCTCACGGGTGTCATGGCGGAGCTCGTGAGCACGGCGTGAGGAAGGTCATTATCATCAGCCACAGTCTCAGTGCGTCATAAAAGCAAAACACCCCATATCCACGCTGCAGCCGATTATTGACTCTGATTATCTCTAGGCGCGGCCCTGGCAATGACTGGCACGCTAATTAAGAAGGCGGTCAATCCTTCTGTGGACATTTCCGTCGCCGGCTTCGGGCTCCCCCGCGGTGGGAATCCCGCCTGGGTGGACTTCCTTGACTCTGGGCCCCATCGTGCATCTTGCACACTCCCTAATCCCTATTTCTATTCCTAATTTTCTGTCTTGTCTTTCTCCTATTCAAGGTCGGCGTCACATTCGCAACAAACCAACACAATCCCATCCCCGCCGTCCCACTGTGCTTCCTCGGGTTCCAGCACTCAAACGGCGAGAGCCACATCGTGGACGACTCGCTGACGACCCTTGTCGCGTGTCTGGGGCAGGACAATACGGAGTGCTCGAAGGGGAACTTGGTGTTGGCTGCAAGCATTCCGAACCATCTTGGTGCGTCACATCTCTCCTCTTTCTCCTCGGGTGACAGATGCTAATGGAATACGTGCAGGCCCGTACTTCCATGACATCTCGTTTAGCAGCTCAGAGTGCTCTCCTTGAGGGTATGCTGTCACATGGCATGCTCCGTTGGCTTATATGTGCTGGTCGTCTTGGTGCGCAGTGGTGGGATGTTTGAACTGGGTAGGATAGCCAGACAATGAAGTTTAACCATCCCACATCTCCTCACTTTCACCTGAGATTCTGCCAGATGCGAGGGACAACAACTCTCGAGTGGGATTGAACTCAAGAAAGCCAAGCGATATCCCCCACAATGCATTTTGCAGCTCAGGTGTTCCACCCATCAATTGTCCACCACACTTTAGGACAAAGTTGAGGTTAGACTCGATGTCTGTCTACTAGTAATATGGTAAGTTTATCTCAATTAGGTTAGACCCATATATTGAATAAGCAACTTGCTGTCTCCACCATGATCATCTGTCTAGGAAGGTTGCCGTTGCATATTGTTGCGAACCAACGTTAATTCGCTCCACAGGCAAATTCCCAAGTAGGACTTGTTTAGTTCTTTTCTCCTTTTCCTTTTGCTCATACATTGGTGGTTTTAAATTTATTCAACCAAACAGATTTGATTTGACTGAATACAGAATTGTGTAAGCAATACGCGCTACTCCACAAATCCAACTTTGTGTCTTTTAGAAATAACCCATGGAAAAAGTCTACAGTGCTTAGGCTATGTGAAGAACAGCAGCTGAATTCCACGGAGCTGAGACATCAGCAAGCCCGTGTCATGTTGAAATCACATGTGAAACGAATGACAATGCCTATGCAGGCCTATGCAGGAAGTTTATGAATCTGTAAGCAGACTTGTCATTTGGGTTACACATGTTCACCAAGCTCAGTGCAAGGCAAGGTAAGTACAAGGACATATAAGGACCCGTAGTGTCTGGGCAAATCTCTTCCGCTTATGGTATGGGGTTACAAAGCACCCAAAGTATGTATCAGCATGGGAAAAATGCCTAGCTGAATGATATTGATGTGCGGGTGGCTGTCATTGTCGTGACGAGCAGAGGTTGGCGGTTTACCTGTTCTCCCCAATTTTTTGTTCTTCGCACTGATAAGGTGTGGATCTTTCCACACCTGAAATCTTTGCATTTCGACACTATTAGAACTATTCTAATGGTAGACTATGGGACACAAGGATACTAGTTGACTCCCGAGACTTGTAAGGATCCGTAAGGTCCCAAGTGGGAATTTAAGAACGAAGGGATCCTGACGAGTCCGATCCGAGCAGTTGTGGTGTAGACCCCTCTAAGCGGTCACAGCGCCACGGGATAGATCTGAGATAGCAGATATTGCTGCTTCCCGTATAGATTTCTCCCTGCCTCCCTCGATATCCGATGGAGACGGCACTACGTTGCTAACTGAGTCGTAACGAAGAGTATGTATGCGGCAAAGAGCAGTTGAGTATAAATTGAATAAAGGTTGCCTAATGCCTGATCCTGTACTCGGAGTAGCTCTACAAGACAGGATGAGAAGGCGAGGCGACGGGTTTTTGAGTAAAGTGTAGTTAGATCCCTATCATCCGCTGGTGGATGACTAATATACTGACTACTCCTTTAGGAAATACATTGTACTCGAGATTAAATAGTAAGTCAGTTGAAAAATAAATACTCGCGTATATTTCATATTTCGAGTGGAGGATTCCTTACAAGACTGAGTGTCAAAGCCGTTATAAAGCACTTAAACTGACCACAAACATTGAACACAGAACCAATAGGTTGCCTTGTAGGACTCACCTGGTGAGTTGTGCTATCTGGTGCAAGAAGCTCGGTGTCAATACAAGGCTAGATTGACCATAGGACTAACCCGGCAAGTTGTGCTATCCGGCGCAACAAGCTCGGTTTCAATATGGGCGCAAGGCATCAAACAAGGGATTAGATGAAGGAAACAATACCAGATTGACTCAATAATGGTTGCAACGGTTACACTGAAGATAATAGCTCAAATTGGATACATGGGCTAGCACTGAGGACGGTGCACCAGTTTAAATGGGCACCACCTTGGGTTCAACCCGGGCGCACGGAATAATTGGAGCATAACGGATTGATCACGTGATATGCGCCTATCTTGGTGCGCCTGTGTCCTGTGGGTTCGATTTGAACTTAGCTGGTCATAACCTTAGTAAAGGAGGTCTACTGGTGCTTATTGAGCCTATGTAGTGTTATATAAGCACTCCAGGTATGATGCGCAGTCAAAAGAGATGATAAACCAGATAACTAAGGTGGTTGTGCTATTCACCACTGGATGTATACCCAGACGGGCTTATAAACCATCGTCATATACCTTGGCAGCTTTCCAATCAGCCTATTTATCAGCCTGATATCATGTTCTCACTCAGCCGTTTGTAATCCTTCTCAGTAGTATAAAAGCCACACTTGTAACAGTAGTTAGGGAGTGAATTATTACCCGGTTATTGCCACACTAGTGGTCATTAGCTTAAAAGACCTAGTCTTGGCTATAAGCGACTAAAGTTACCTCTAAAACCTAGGCATAACTTCTACTCACGGATTAAAAACCTAAGCTTCAGCTGTCCCTGCCTCTTCATAAGTCTGTGCCCACCCGGTTGTCTATTCAGACCTCTGGCGCACAGCATTAGACCCCATACACCCATCTCAGACTTAGTCTCCAACCCACTTGTCACTGTTCTATCTAATTCTGTGGTTAGTCCGATTGTCGGGAAGACAAGCGGCTCCAGCATTAGTTCATACACTTTACCAACTTGGTTGTAACTAACCCGTTGAGACCACCGGCACAGTCCTAACAGACCCACTGAGGCTCCCACCCACTGGCGCAGTCCTAACAAGGCTCCCACACACTGGCGCAGTCCTAACAAGACCTAGCTGAGGCTACCGGCGCTGTCTTTACAGACACGTCAAAGACTTTACCAACGTGGTTGTAACTAGCCCATTGAGACCGCCGGCGCTGTCCTAACAGACCCGCTGACACTCCCACCCACTGGCGCAGTCCTAACAAGGCTCCCACATGCCGGCGCAGTCCTAACAAGACCTAGCTGAGTCTACCGGCAATGTCTTTACAGACATGTCAAAGATATTACCAACGCAGTTGTAATAAACTCGTTGAGACCCACTTGTCCAACTCAGTTGTAATAACCTGGTTGTGATCCAATTGTACCTTTGGAGAGTTGAAGTGTTTCTTGGATTGACAGTTGATACGTGACCCACCACCCCGAGCACAAAAACATTGTTGTCATTTGAGTTGTTGGTTGTGGTTTTGTTGGTTGGGTTTGAGTGAGGCTTAGTCTTCGCTCATCTCAGTTAGCATTTCACACCTGAACACAAGTGCTTCATTTCAGCACCTTGCTCACTTCACTTGGCAGGACGATGACGGCTTCATCCTGTAGTAGTTTCCCAGCAGTTCAGACGCTAGGAGTCTAACCCGGGATTCCTGGCTTTTCACGCTTACCCTTTCAAGTGCAAGGAAAGCGAGTGTGCGGCTTACACCACGTCCGAGTTCCCGTGTCCCCTGCGCACCTGCGTTTGTAAGATAGAATCATCAGCATATTCCAACAGAGAATGAATCGGATTTAACCTTAGGTTGCCTGAAATCTTGAATCGATAACGAACGTTGAACATCTTGACATAGATTATTGGAGCGCGCATCCTCCCTGAACGCGAAATAAGAGGGATTTCCAAAGCCACACGAGCCGAAGTATTTTTAAGAATGGTGGTGGATAACCATTTGGACGTCGGGAGTTCCTAGATCCAAGCCGCACCTGTCTAGAATTGTCAGCATGTCATAAGAGAGTAGGAACGAACTCACCCCAGAATATTAAATCCCTTGGGAAAGCGTCAGCTGTAAAACAGATGATTCCTGTGCGGAGATGTCGAGGAAACCGAAACGCCAGGGAAAAAAGGATTCCTGGTTGGGTGATTCTTCGGACGCCGGGAGTCGAGCCCGGGCGCTCCGCAAAATCCTGACACTACCTCAATAAGCAGCGGGCATGCGGCATACCATGTCCGAGTTCCGGTACCCAAAGTGCACCTGTGTAAGTAAGAGAGAATCAAGCAGAGAATAGGGTTGCACCTTACGTACACTGACATGTTGAAGGCCCCAAAACCATGAACTTCCCACGATAAGATTACTAGGAGTACGAAATCCAACACGAGAAGAGCAAGAAATTCGCAGCCAGCTGACAAAAAGAAGCCGCATCACTTTCCCAGCAGTGCCAGTTCGGACGCCGGGAGTCGAACCCGGGTTTCCTGCATATTGGTCTACGAATTTTCTCTCAATGGAAAGCGGGTGTGCGCCGTGCACCACGTCCGAGTTCCAGTACCCAATGTACACCACTCTAGGCATGAGAGAATCGTCAGTGCGATCCAGAAGGGGGATTTGATTTTACGGAACCTGGAATGTTGAACCCTGAAATGATCCAAACAAGATGATTACGGTCGGACGAGAAAAGAGAGAGATAAGCTCCCATTCGAATGATAAAAAAATCGTCATTCACATAACATTCGAATTCCGATGGCGGGAGTCGAACCCGGGCTTCCTCACGCACAGAGATGAAACCCTATCATGAGGAGCGGGCGCGCACCACGTCCGAGTTCTTATATCCAATCTGCACGTAGTTTAATTAAGATGGAATCATCAGCACGCCAGCAGAGAATAGAACTGAACCTTGCGTACCCTAAAATCCCAACCTTCCAAAATACGATTGTAAGGAGTACGATGCTCAACACGAGAAAAGGAAGGACCTGCGAAAAAGACATGCCAACCCACGAGCAATTCGGACGCCGGGAGTCGAACCCGGGCTTCCGCTGACGTCTGACTCTTGGATCATCTCTCAAGAAAAGCGGGTGTGCACCGTGCACCACGTCCGAGTTCCTAGACCCAACGTGCACTGGTGTAAGTAGGAGAGAATCGCTCATACTCCCGCAGACGAAGCTAGCGCCAGCGGCATAACACGATTCCACCGCGAGCCTGAGATGTCGCAATAACATTGATTATCAGCACCAGGCAGGACAGTTCAAAGACCGTAAAAGCGGGCTCTGTTATTTTCACGAATTCCTGGTGCACCTCACCTGCGGTCGCAATAAGATATTTTAACTCACTGGAGGGATAGGGCCATAATGCATGACCCTGCGGCAAACCCTCACCCATTCGAATTCAACCCCACGCGCTTCCTCGCCCCGTCGGACGACCCAAAGTTGAATCCAGATCCCCGGTGGTACGCACTCGGCTTCGGCCGGCGATTGTCCTGGACAGTTCCTCGCGGAAGACGAACTACTCATCGCAATTATCAAAACACTGGCCGTCTTCGAGATAACGCCTGTGGACAAACTGCGAGAGCTGTGAAGCCTGAGTATACGTCGGCGATTATTAGTCATCCAAAAGCGTTGGTTTGCATACTCACACCGCGGTCGGAAGAGGTGATTTTATTGTTGAGGTAACATTTACCTTCACGGATATTTCAATGACGGTTCTTTCTGTACATGCTGTAATCGATTTGCGCCCATTTTTGACATGCCAAGAATTGCCAGTTTCATGTCTGAGTTCTAGTTGAATGATGAGACGGCGAGTTGCGCTGGAAGGAATCTGGAAGGAATCAATGCTCAGCGGTCGACGTTCCAGATACGCGGGGAGAAATCTAGGAAAGGTCGGCAAATCGGAATGGAGCGGAAGAACGCCGAGAAAAGCCGACGTGTTGTCGCTCACGTGGAAGTCACCTGCTTGGCGCGCGTCGCGTCAAAACCCGCCTAACTGCTCAAGATAAAATTTCGGCTACAGGAACAAAATACATTTTGCTATATGGCCGAGGAAAGACCAAGGTATGATTTGTATTATGATTTCAATAGCTCGACAATTCGATCGCAAATGCGACCGACTTGGAAACCTGTTGGCCACGGTTATGTTCTACCCTCGTGAATAATTTATTTGGGACGTATTGCAGCATGTGGTCGAACGAGAATTCCGGCGAGATATCAATTCTGTGGTCTACACTGTGGATGTCTGGGAGCCAGTAAAGAAAAGAGACTAATCCAGAAATCCACCTGGAGAGAAAGATGCCTCACGGGGTTGGTATATTTGACCTGCCCTTCCAAGGGATGGCACGACAGATATACCGCATCGGTACAGCTAACATAGTCGCTTAGGGAGCCTTGCGGGTAATGGTCCCTCCCTCATAAAAGGAATTTGAACTGCGCATGTATATAAGTTGTTCGATCGACGAGGATGCAGAGGAACTGACGGTATCGTTCAGTGAGGAGGATTTGGAATTCTGAAAAGGCGGCATCGACATTGTTCATGGTGACACCGATTTCCTCGCGTGTTCCGGCTTGGTGCCACGCCTAGTTATATGTTGATATCAATGTGAAGAAATAAGACGAGGGCCCAGGGACTACGAAACATTGGGCCATTCCTCTGACCTTCCTTCCACCGAGTGCATAAGTGGACGCTATCGCATGAGACCCGCGAAGACCGCCCTGCGCACATAAAAGTCAATTCATCCATGGTTGCTGTGGTGCCAAATATGTACCTCCTCTCCAGCGTAGAAATGGAACTCCAACGGCGAGGGATATAGTTCCCCAGCAAAAGCTACCGACTCTCAGTTAAGTGTCTTTTCTCTTCGCGCGATTAAACAAACCTCTGTATGTCTCGAGGATAGTCATGATCCCGGATCCGTCGTCGTCCGCACCTGGTGCTGCCAGGAAAATACCACCATGGTTGAGGGTATCAATGTGGGCACCAAGAATTGTGATGGGGGCAAATTGACACGCGTTTAGTGAAGCAATACGGATAACCTGGGTGCATATATATTATTAAAGCCCTTCATCGCAAGTTCAACGCACGAGTGAGTTCTGCTTCCACGGATGCTCAATTTCTTCGACACTGATCAGACGTTTCTTCTTCTCACTAGCGAGCTCAGCTGCATAGGTGAGAATATTTGCATAAAACCATTCGGAGCTGGCCTTGCCTATGTCGGAGTCAAAGTACCGCATGTGATAAGATGTAAAATGCTCGAGATTGGCTTGTGTTTCGGCTTTAGAAAGGTGGAACAAAATTCCAGCGACGATTGTGGAGTTGGGAGGTGGGTACGAGGATTCCGACGTGGTCGACCAACCCAGCGACGATGAATCCCTCCTAGATACCGCTGAATGCCAGAGGCTACCAAAGTGATAAGTCACTCACATATCCGTGAACCCGGGCGTCTGCCTCTCCGTGTCGCATGAACCTAAGATGCACTCATTCTCGTTGAGCTGGCTGGTTGAAAGCGCTACGACGAAACTTGCGAGAGCAATAATGCTGAGAGTGCGAAGGAGTGAGACTTGTATCTTGAGCAGCAGCTGCTGCTCGAGGCTCGAGACGCAGCATAAAAGGAGTCCCAAAATAGCTCTGCAGGCGCGTGGGGAAGATACGCGATCAATGACTGCGGCAAAGTTCGGTGGATGCCGCGTTTGGCTCGAACTTGAACAGCGGGAAATATATGCTGTATTAGCCCAAATCCAAACCTCGGGAGTTTGGGGCACTGGCGGTCGTAGTACAAGGATTAGTTGGCGACCGACACTTAAGCCCAGCTCGTCCGATGGCGCTTTCGATGATGTCAGGCCTTTATGGCTTTGCAGTTCCGCAGTATAAGTTCTTACCTCAACACACAGTCTGTTCAACGCCCACTCCTCAAAAAATTGGAGCCCATAAATTACACTTGCTCAGAACGTGTTTCAACTTTCTTGCAGACGTTCGGCAGGCTAAATGGGGTGTAAACCCGATGACCGCCGGCGCATTAAAATGCGATTCACTGATCGTTTCAAGCCTCGTCATCCCCTGATCGTATGAGAGCCAGAACTCTTTGTGTCTCATATCGCATGAAAATTAGACGCAGATCCAGAACTGATCCTGCCATTTGTTCTAAGTTCTGGATGACCAGTGGAGATTTCGAGAGTGGCATACGTACCATGCCATTATTGCACCATTCCGAATTCTCGATCGATGGTTTCCGAGTGAAACTGTACGTCATGGGCTTTTACCTCGAGTTTCCTATGCTCTTGCAGTGTTTGAAGCTAAAAACCTCTTTCAGACAGTTATCAATCTCTGATGGGAACTGATTAGATACGGAAGACGCGTCATCAATCAGATGTGATCATGTGACTGATGGGTGCCGTCACATAGGGAGGCACGACCTTAATTCACTTTCAGTTCGACCCAGTGTCAACCCAGTGTCGCGCAGGTATCGAGGCGCTTCAACGAGCTATCGACGCGGAGTTGGCTCGCGGGCACGGTATAACGCCCTCGCAGCTCTCGTCCGGGCACGTCGTTATCCAGTCCGAGCACCCCATCAAACGACTGCCCCACGACGCGGTGCTCAAGGATGGCTGTTCACCTGCCGCCCCGAGGCCCTGCGGCGCTGGAACCCCGCGACGGGGCACTACGAGGGCGGGTGGACGGACTCGACCACGACATACTCGAGCGTCGGACGTGCTGCATTTCTCTGGCAAAAAATTTCGCAAGCCAGGCGGTGACAAGAGTCATAGAACCTGCACCCTATGCAAGTAAGTTCGTTCGCGTGGGCTCTACAATTGGAGATACTACTAAGCCTCCGTTAGGAAGGACCTTGTCGCCGACGTTTCCACACACCGCCGCCACTACGCAAAGTTTCACAAGGTGAAAGATACACATGTATTCTGTTCTCAAGCTGATTTCATTGCAGTCCGAATATCACGCGTGGTGCGAGACGAATGATTTCGAATCCAAGCTTGGGGAGGACGTCAAGGCCCGACAGAAGGCCGACGAACACAAAAATAAACTCCTCAAGCAGCAAACCATTGATCCACACCTTCGAGAGAAGCCCGCCCGGCCAACTCCATATACTGACGAGCTACTTCTCGATGCCGCCATTAAGTGGCTTATTGCAACTGACCAGGTCAGTCACATCGTCTTTATTCTACTGTTTGCTCATGTTGCTGCAACAGCCCATTGACGCGTTAACGCACCCAAAGTTCAAGGAAATGATCGACATCGCTGCTCGAGCAACCGAAGGTGTCAATCTACCCAACCGTGAGCAGACGCGCGAGGCCATTATCAGGCTCTTCCACGATCAGATGTCCCAGCTGAAACTCCGTCTTCATGTACGTGTCTTGTGATACTAGTGTACAGTATTTCGCTCACCCTCTACCTCTCAGAGCGACGCCGTAACTGGTATGATTCACATCACCTGCGATGCCTGGCAAGCCAGCAACACAGACGGTTATTACGCCGTTACTGGTCACTGGATGGAGGAGACCTCACCAGGTGTATGGGTGCTGCGTGAGGCACTACTGGGCTTTACCCGTATGAACAACGCGCACCACGGCGTACGGCTTGGACAGACACTGTTCAAGATTGTGGAGCGGCTCGGCATCACAAGTCGTGTACGTGGAGTTGCATCTCTAAGTTCTTCGTCTTCACTCTAACTGGGTCTATTCAGGTTGGGTATGTAACCTGCGATAATGCCACTAATAATGGCACGATGCTTGTCGAGTTTTCCCGTCAAATGGCTCGCGTCGCCAAAATCAGGTGGGATCCTATAGAAAGGCGTATCAAGTAAATTTCTTTCAAACTTCAATTACAATGTCTGACGCCTCCTTTCAGCTGCCTCGCACACGTCATTAACATTGCGACGCAGAAGCTCATTTCTTCGTACAGCAAAAGCCAGCACTTTAACCCGCACGAGCCTCACGCCCATGTTCCCGATACCGATGATATCATGGCGCGCGATGAGATTGGGCTCCTTCGCGCGATTGCAGTCAAAGTACATTACTTTTTCATTGCTATTACTGTGCTAACAGATTCAATTGTAGGAAAGGTCTTCATCTCAGCGGAAGGAGTTGTTTCGCGACATTCAACTTCGCAATCTTGTGGACCTGGATGAAGCTGCCAAGCAGATGATCCTGGACATGAAGGTTCGCTGGTCCTCCACCTACGCAATGCTCGATCGAGGCTATGAGTTGAAAGACGTGAGTTGATCCTTTTATATGCCGATTACCAGTGCGCTTACTTTAACCAGGCCGTGGACCAGTTCATCTGCGAAATTGCGGCAAATGAGCGAGACCGCGACAAAAGCGACAAGCTGGAAGCTCTTCAACTGACTGCTGATGAGTGGAACCGGATAGATTTGTTCCTGAACATCTTGCAGGTATGGCGGCCCCACTCAAAGTGTATTTAAGAATACTGAACCCGTCCGTAGAGCGCTCAGGATGCACAGCACCAGTTCTCATCCGATTTACGGTCCACGCTCCACCTCGCCATCCCAGCACTTGAAAAGCTCCATGCTGAATGGACCTCCAAAGGTTCCAAAGAAAAGTACTCTCCTTTCCATGAAGCAATTGAAGCGGCGCTTTCCAAGGTCGACGAGTACTACCAGAAGACCGGGAACTCTAATTCCTACGTACTAGCAATGGGTGAGTAAATTTGCCACGCGAACTCGCACCTTGGTTCACTCTGCCTAGTTCTCGATCCGCGGAGAAAGCTTGCGTATTTCGAAAAACACTGGCCAAAGTCACTGCAAGTCTCGGCAAAGAAAGCGCTCGAGAAGATGGTAGGACTGGACTGTGGTTTTCAAACTCCAACTGACGCTTCGCCCAGTTCAGGGAGCGATACACGCAACTGCAAGTCAACTCCGACAAGTCAGCGCCAACTACTTCTACCCGGGCAGCGCCGGCCCAGAAGAAACACCGCCGGTCCTCCACACCTACAGACGATGATATGGGCAGCACATCTGCGACCCACATCGATCCAACTCGACCCTGGCTCAATGAGTTCAACGAATACCTTCAGGCACGCGAGACCGTGCCCAAAGGCACATCCACTATCGAGTGGTGGGGTGTACGTTTGTTCTTCTAACTGTTCTCTTTGCGAAATAACTCATTCGCCGACGTCAGCGTAACTATCATCGCTACCCGGTTTGGGGGTCCCTCGCGAGAGACTATCTGGCAGTCATGGCATCTGCCGTTTCCTCCGAGCGGGCGTTCTCCTCGGCCGGAATTACGATTAGCAAGCGCCGTAACCGTTTGAAGGGCGATGTTGTCGAGGCACTGCAGTGCTTGAAATGTTTCATTCGCAAAGATCTCCTGTTTCGCGAGCCGGTGATTTTCAAGGAGGGCAAGCATGAGGAGGTGGAGGCTGGGGAGGAAATTGGCGCGAGTAAGGAACCGACCAGTTGGGATATTTTCATAGACGACGACCCGGATAATTACGAACTTCTTCCTGCCTTACCTTCTACAGAAACATAATTCGTACATGTACAATCTAGCATAATGGCTTTTTTTTTTGGCTATCAAGCCCGGGCTTGGGCCCGGGCTCAGGGCTTCAGGCCCCAGGCCCAGGGCTCGGGCTCGGGCCTGGGGAATTTGAGGCCCGAGTCTCCCCAAGCCGAGCCCAAGCCCGGGCATTCAGGCCGAGCCGGGCCCGCGACATCACTAAGCGTCCGCATGCACGACGGCTCGCGCCAGCACGTCCCCACCATCCACGCCCTCCAGACCCTCACCGTCAAATACCCGCTCGCCCCCGCGCCGTTCGACAAGTGGAAGCTCGTCGTCGTCGACGCCGCCCTCCTCACGGACCTCCAGCTCTCCCTCAAGCTCGCGCCACGCGAGTGGGCCGCCATCCTCGACGCGCTCGCGCTCCCCGCGCTCGTGTGCGTCGGCCTGTGGGCCGAGGCAATCAGCACCGCCACGAGCGCGCGCTTCTTCACGCGCCACCCTACAATCCGCACGCTCAAATACATGTCCCCCACCGCGGACGCGCTTCCGCCGGGCTACGCGCCGCTGCACCTCCCGCGCCTCGAGAGCCTCAACACGCTCGCGCCGTACCTCGAGCACATCCTCTCATTGCCTTCATCTTCACCAAGCGCCTCTTGCGCGGACGCGGACTCGGACGAAAAGGCGCACGCCGACGCAAGCCAGCAGCGCTTCCCACGCCTCTCGCACATCGAGCTCCGCCCGCACCCACGCATGCGCGCCGCCCTCCTCCTCGCGAGCACGCACGCGCCGCTCACCGCGCTCACCCTCTGGTCCCTCGCACCGGCGGCCCTCTCCCCCGCGTGGCCCGTCTTCCCCGCCGTGCGCCGCATCGCGTTGAATGAAGTGCGAGTGATGGCGTAGCTCGAGGGCGGGCTAGCCGCGCTCCTCGCGCACGCGTTCCCCGCGCTCACGCACATGGGGGTGAACTATAGCTGGGAGGGGAACGGGGGCGTGACTGCGGGGCGCCAGATGGAGCGCGAGCAGCGCGCGTTCGTGAAGGAGGTGACGGCTGCGAACCCGGGCGTGAGGACGGTTTTGTTTGATGGGAGGGAGTATCCGATGGGAGTGTAAAGAGGAGTAGGATGTACGTAGGAGTAGGCGCGATGGAATAGAATAGAAGATGAAATAGGGAGTCACAGGACTAATAAAAACCGGACTTGGCACAGAAAATTCGGACGCTGAAGTTCAATTTTTGTCAAGCTGTCCTAGTTATGGAGACCCGTCAGTATGGCAGAAAAATACGAGAAGGTCATCCAGACCGTCGGTTGTAAAATTGCAGCACTGCTAATGTTGTGTTCAACCTGGGGAGGGATCAGAGAAATGGGATAAAAAAGCAATTGCCAAACATTCGGACGCTGGGAGTCGAACCCAGGGTTCCCACAAACTGTCTGGAACGCTGGAAGAGGGCGTGCACCGTGCACCACATCCGAGTCTCTATAGACGTTCTGCACAAACCTACATGAACAACAATACAACGCAAACCGTCAGTATGGCAGCGCCATGTTAAAAGTGTTAAAAGTACGCTTTACGGCAGCAGAATGCGGTCAGGTCACCCTGAATGTGGAGGCTCCGTCCATGCGAGTGTTGGAGCACTGCTAATGCGGAAATGTTGATGTTCAACGTCGATGCTCAACCAGAAAGGCAAAGCAGGGACCATATTTAGAGAGAATGGATAAAAAGGCAAATATTGGAGTTCTATTCGGACGCTGGGGATCGAACCCAGGCTTCCACAGACTTCTTCACTTGATGTTTAGAAAAGGAGGGCGTGCACCATGCACCACATCCGAGTCCCAGTACTGAAAGCGTGCCGCTCTAGGTAAGAGACATTAATCTGCGCAGAGAATGATCAGCGCGGACAAACTGACAAAAGACCAAAAACACGCCTGATTCGATCGAATCCGGACGCTGCATCAGGGAAAACCTCCTCTGATATTTTGAGATATTTTTCCATAAAATCTTTTATCGGGTCGATATTTTTGATATTTTTGACATTTGATCAACATTTGAGCATAATTTAAGTAAAGTCTGGCTAAATTTCCCAACGATTTGGACATTTTTCAAAAGCCTCAGATATAATTCCTATTTCTCTCAAGATTTGTTTGAGATTTTTAGCATTTTTATTTTGCCTTGCAGTAAGTTGGATGACTTTGTCAAACATTAAACTTGTGTCGCCGGTCTACACATGTTGCACACGGTGCAGCTGCGAAAACAAAATTTAGTAGCAACCATGCCTCAAATTGATTCAGAGGGAATGGATGAATTGGCTTCGCATGTGAGTCTAAGGTTAGGAATGACCGGCCCTGATGTCGAACTGTTGATATCCGAAAAGAAGTGACAGACTGTGAGAGTCCGAACAGGTCCGAACCGACGGCGGAAGACAATGTCAAGCGATTCGCGGCAATGGGACGGGATTTTGATCGCATCATCGTGCGCGTCCCAATTTAGATGCACTGCCAAAATGTGAGTCTCGATGAACAAACCCAGTATAAAATCAACGGGCAATGCTACCACCCGTCCTATCGGCCTAAAAATGCTTATAATTCATTTTACATGTATTCTTGGCAACACATTTTTTTCGCCTCAGCTCTGGCCCAAAATCCTTAAAAAATGTGCCCTTATTGAGTTCGCTATTGGGCAAGTTTTGCACCTGCTAATCCCAATATTCCCTTCTAGTTAGAAGGGCCGTACGCATGCGGCTGGCCCTTCTAATTAGAAGGGGTTGAGATACGTTCAGGCATGCTGCAGAATATGCTGCAGCAATGCTCAGAAAATGCTGCAGATATGCTGCAGCATATGCTTCCGCAGGACTTGGACGTTTTTTTGGATTCAGTCCCTTATGTAAGCCCTTTTCCAGGCCCAAAAAGGCAATTAAAAAAAGAAAAATCAATACAGCACAATCAGTAAGTAAAAATACGCAAAATATAACATCAGGCCTCGAGGTCGCTATCCCCCGCTGTGTGCTCATCCATGGCAAGCTTCGTGATCTGATAAATCATACCAGACACGGCCTCGTCCGCGGCCTCCACTCCCTCATCCTCCTCCTCTCCGTTGTCCACGTCGTCCACCCAGCCCTCTTCTCCCTGTCCTTCCTCATCAACCTCCATCTCGTCCTCTGACCCCAATGAATCCCCAGACGCGGCACGTTCTGCCTGTTGCGCAGCCCTCCGTGCAGCTCTCACCTCCACAGAAACGCCCGGCGTGAGCGTGCCCGTGAAGCCAGGCAAGTTCCGCAGGGCCCGAAACCTCCTCATGTGGGCATCATCGAAGTGCCCCCTGCGCTCTTGATACAGCCTGACCTGCAGTGCCATCTGCTGGTCGGCCTCTTCCTCCTCCTCTGTTTTCCCCTCCCCCTCCAACAGCTCTGCTTCCTTCGCGCGCAAAGTTTGGTTCTCATCGCGTATCCACGTTATCACGCGTCGAATTTCGATGTTGAGCCTTCGAATCTCCTCCCTTGCCCGGAGGATCTTGAAGTAGCTGTCCATCGCGAGCCGGTAGGAAGGGCGTGTCCACGGGCGTGACTGGACTTCAGCCCTGGTATCCCGCAAGATGTCAAAGTCCGCCAGGAAGGCATAATCCACCACCTGCTCCCAGTCGAGCTGCGCCATCGGTGGCTCCAGCACGATGGCAGCGGTGTTGTACCGTTCGATGGCATTCTTGACAGCCTTTGATCTGGCCTGGAGAGCCTTGGCGATGTGCTTGCGCATCTTGTACCCTGTACTAATACATTAGTGAAGTCCGCGTAGAGAGAATAAAAACACAAACCCGTTTGCGACTGGTTCATCTTTGTAAGCTCGAAGATGCGCTCCACAATAAGGAGCTCCAGCGCATCCAAAGCCAATTGATACTTGTGTTTCTTGATCTGCACCACTGTCTCCAGCCATTTCGGCGACTCCAGCGTCCAAGGAATCACGACCTCCAGAAGACGCTCGAGCTCTTGAACACTCTCAAAGTCTTTCTCCACCCTCTCCTTCCCATGTCGTCTCGCCAACTCCTCCTTCGCTCTCCCAGGTACGTAGGCGGCGTCGTCAGCTCTTGCACACCTCGCGTTTGCTGCCAGTATCGCGTATTTCGCTCTATAGATGTACCTGGTCAGATGTATGTCTCTGAAGAATAAAAGAAGAACTCACTTGCTCGCACTGAGATTGACTAACTTCTGCACGTACTCCATTTCCAGCGTTTCGACGTTGGTCTTTGCCGCAGTCTTCAGGGTGAGCAAATACTCCTTTTCTTCAGCCAGCCACGTTTGGAACTCATCGGTAGAGAGGATGTTTTCCTGCGCCATGAACTTCTGTAGTGCTGGCTCGGTTTTCAAGATGGACAATGCCTGCCGATAGTTGTCGCATAGGAATTTACCTGGATTTTCGTATCAGTGAAAAGATAACAAACGGTGCACGAGCAAGACATACTAAGATTAGCGTAGGTCTCAAAGCTGTCGAAGTGCTTGGCGTAGGTGGTGATCTCCTGCTGGCGATGGAATCTCGACGCATACCGACAGGACTTTGCCAGGCCATTGGAGCGCGAAAAGTAACGCTCGCAGCCCTCGAGGTCCTCGAGGCCCATTCCCTCGACGTATGTCGCTAGGAAACCCAGTTGGCACAGGCGATTGTGCGCGTGGCCGTGGAAGGATCCGACCAAGCACCTTAGCTCCTTCTCCCTCGCGAGATTCCCCAGCTCGCTATTCCTGACCGTGGCGCCGAAGTGGCAGCCGACATCGTAGCCCGCACCAATCTTCATGCCGAAGATATCAAGCAGCTCCTTTACGACCGCTAGAGGATACTTGGCTCTATGTATTTGGTTAGTCTCACTCTATCGTCTCAGACTCCATACACTCACAGTTCCCCGCTTCTGATCATATCCGCAATAACCAGCACAAAACCATGCCGACACAGTGCGAGGAAGATCCCTGTTTCGTCAAAGATGCCCCACATCTTCGACGTTACATCGTTTATCATGTTCTTCCATCGATCCGCGCATGGATTATCTTCCTCACCCTCCTATGATACTTGCGCCATGAGAGACATACCAATGAATAAGAAATTGACTCACCACGTTGCCCGGCTGCATTGGCAAGATATCTGCAAGACGAGTCTTTGCCCATTCATCCACCTTCTCGCGGGAGAGATAGTAACCATCTCCCGCATCCCTGTTATCCACCCGTTCCTTTGACGCACCCAGTGTCGGCTCTGCGCTCTCCTGCTCTTCCATGCTCTTCTTAGACCGCCGCAGGACTCGCTTCAACGAGTCGTTGCCGTCCATGGTGGTCAGGAGGTCGAAGATGAGCTGCTCCTCCCCCTCGAGCTTGTACATACAAGCAGGGCATGCGTGTTTCAGCCGCCATTTCGAGTCTCGGCCTAGCGCTTGCATGACGTGGTCATCCGTGCGTCGTCGGAGGTCGAGGTACAGGTCGTAGGAGATGGAGAACTGCTGCGTCAGGTAAGGCATGTACGCGACCTGAACAGAATTAGTATTCAAAATCAATCTATGCATGAAGCATGGACGTACACCATGCATATCACAAAGAGCTTTGACGAACGATTGAATAGCGAGGTGGGGGCAGCGTACATGCATGGTGCGGTACGTTTCCAGCACGCGTACCGTGATTGCGACGGTCGGTTTCCACGGCGCGCAAGGCATCATCCCGTGAAGAATCAAGGCCGCCGCTATGCCGCCTGCGCCAGGATCCAGTGTCAGTGCACGATTTCCTGTGTCTTGGGTAGTGTCAACATATACCGAGCCGTGAACAAATTGTATACTCACCAAACATATCGATAACTCGAATATGATAAACCTCCTCCGGCTCATCTGCTGTTCTGGGGGCAAACTTGATCCCGAGTTCGTCTTCGGCGCATCGACGGATGTACGCCGACACCATGGCGTCGGCCTGGGCCAAAAAGCCTTGGTTGCGTGTCTCTGTCCGATCTCTCCGCGTGCGCCAATCCTCCGCCTTCCTGAATACACTGGGTAAGCCTTATATTCATTGTCAGAAACGAAATTGGCTCACCGTGCTTTCTCCTCCTCCTCTTCAGCGTCCTCCTCGATATCTTCCTCAAGGGTGCCAAATTCCCCTCCTGCGTGGCTCAGCTCGACACGCTCAGAGCCATCCAGCACGTCCTCCATCCTGATGGCATTCGAATTGAGAAAATGCCCAGGATTAAAGTCATCGTCTGCAGCAAGCTCTTGCAGCCGGTCGAAATTGTCTCGGTGCTCTGGATCCATGTCTAGATTTCTTTAGCAATGTATTCCCACAAATAAGTAAGACACTTACTTTGTAAACGTGAGCGCAGCGATTGCTCGGCGGTACGGCGATATTGATCAACGCCGTGCTGGGTCAGAGTTTCATTTTGTGTCGGTGCCCGGCCTGCGGTGGTTGATGATCTGCGTTGCGTGCCGAGTACGCGGCTCTTTGCAGATGCAGAGCCACCGTGGTGGA